CGGTTGTGCTCTAACCACTGGGCTGTTGGGTATAATGGGAAATGCACAGCCAGCCCCACAAAGTCTCATACCCAGCTGTCTTTTGTGAGGGTTAAGTCATGCTCAGAGCATTCCTACCAGACTGGCTCCTACATGTGAGACAGTCAGGGAACACCTAGTTTGAGAATCCTGCCATAGCTTAGGAATGAGGTAGGCACCGAATGACTCAGCAGTGTCTGAATGTAGGTGGTTTTGCACATGCCCACTTGCAGAAACTTAGGCACATAGGGGACGTTAGTGGCAGAAATTTAGGCACCCACAGGCTAGGCAGCAAGACAGTGAAAGTTTTGTGAATACCAGTGGCACCTAAATGTTGACATTAGGTACCTAAAGAGGCATTTAGGCACCTAAGTCCCTTTGTGGATCTAGCTCAAAGTGCTGTGCTGACTGGCAATCCAAAAGCTTGATGGAGCTGAGAGCCAGATGCAAATTTCTTTACAAGCTATGAGCTAGATTCATCTCTGGTTTATGCTGGCTTCTTAGTCAGCATAATCCCACTTCTGTCTCTGCCACCAGGGATGCTATGGAGGCCCTGAGAGAAACTTAAGTTGCCCTATCCCTGTATAGCTTCCCCAATGAAGGGCAATTGTGGAAACACCTCCTGCCCTGATTTAGGGATGCATCCTCCTTGGCATGTAAGGGACTGCTGGTTCAGGAAGGTGGAATTTGCGCCATCCTGTACCAGCCAGGCTGAATCTAGCTGTAGACTCTTGTTAATGGGACTGCTCATTTGCTTAAAGTTAGGCACATGCTTAAATACCATGCTGAATCAGAGTCTTAATGCATCAATGAACCATTATATGGAGTCATAAAAGTCTTTTTTGACTGATAATGGGACATAACAAAAGTTACTTCTAAGAACCAATAGTTAAACCATCATACCAAATACTCATTTAAAACCTACTACTGAATAAGTTTGATATTTCTTTAGCATCTTTATCCAAGGATCTCCAAGCACTTTATAAACATTAATTAAATAAAGGGACAATGAAATGTTAAAAATTATATAGTAAGAATTACTAATAAAAAAGCTTGAATATCAGAAGTGAAATAATGTAAACATATAATTTACTTTTCCCTATTTTTTATTTTAGTTTACTTGTTAGCATTTCACTCAGTTTAAACAATGAAAATTTTAATTCTACAAATCATTTATATGAATACTGAACTATGATAAACCTTTTTTAAGAACAAAGACTATATTTGGAGTCTATACTACCTGACTGTATCTCTTTAACGCTGACAAAACAGTGATAGATGCCTGTTGTTACAATCTTTTGATACCAGAATAAACTGAAGCCTGTGGAGATTGTGGGTGAAATCCTGACCTGTTGAAGTCAATGAGCATTTTGTCATGACTTCAGCAGGGCTAGGATTTTACCCTGTGGGCTTTTCCAAGGTAACAGACCAAATTGATATCTCAGCCAGGATTAGAACCCAGGACTGTTTCCTCAACCTTATACTCTAACCATCAGCCCTAACACCCTCTTCTTGCTGTATTAAAATCTGAGTTTTCACCTCTTATCATTAAGAGTCTTGTCTGGCATAGTGCTCTGAGTTTGCTGCATTTCACAACAGATATTCAAGAAAGTCTTTTTCTGAACCTCATACTCTTTAAAGCTTTAATTTTTATCTTTTATTTGGAATATTAAAAAACTGGGTTGTTTTCTTCCTCTTCATTTGAAAATTTATTGTTTTCATTTAAATAATGATATTCCTCTTTTATGCAAGGGTTTTCTTCTCAGCTGGCGCATAAACTCAGATATCCACATAAAAAGACTGCCATCTCTGTTTATGTGATTGATTGAAATGCAGAGTGTGATGGCAACATGGTTAAAAATAGAAAGGCAATCAGTGTGACTGGGCATGAAATACATTCATATACAAGTGGAACTTCTCCCCAGTGAACGCTGAAGAGCTCTTTCTCTGGACCCAGAGGATTTACATCACATTAGTTAGTCACTGGTATGGAAATCATCTCCTGCAGCTTGGGAGTTTGGAGAATTATAAATAGAATGAACCCTAACCGCAAACTGAGTCAGCACAATATATGAGTTACCTTACTTCCAAATGCAATTATAACTAGATGAGATTCATGGTCTGAGCACACATAGATATGTTCCTAGTACACCAATGTAATCTTATCATACGTTAATTTGTAAGTTGACAGTTCTGTATCAAAACCATATCTTTCTAAAGAAATAAATCAGATTTGCTTTCCTGTGGATGAGTCATATAGTGACTGATAAAGTGTAAAATCAAAGTTAAATTTAAAATTTTCTTCAAAGATTTCTAGTTTTGTATCAGGGTGTTATATAGTTCCCCTGAAAGCAGCACACACTGTAGACCACACAGGAGGCAGTGTTCTCTCAGGAACTATTTAGCACCATTAGAAGAGGCATGACAAATAGTGGCTAGAGATATTGCAAATCCAACCAGTCCTGAGTTTACTAAACATTTTGTACCACTCTTGAGCAGGCAAAATGGCACCCCCATTGATCTGTCTGAGGCATTTTGCATGTGCTCATCACTTTAGAAACTAATGGAACAGGAAACAAATGCCTTCACAGTGCACGTGAGAAGAGAGCTGGAATTAGAAATCCAGGCCCCACTGAAGTCAATGGCAAAACGCTACTGACTTCAATGTAGCCAGGATTTCATCTCTTCTTTTCTTCCTCCATTTCTAACTCTGTGTGAGTGTGTGCGCATGTGCACACACACACAGGAGAAAGAGCATGTGAGAGATAGAGTGTGTGTGTGTGTGTGTGTGTGTGTGTTAGAGAGAGAGAGAGAGAGAGAGAGAAAACTGATCCTATTTTCCAACCCTCTTTACGTGTTAAGATATTGATGAGCCAAGATGTATGGCCAGACAATGAAACATAAACAAATTCTACCCTAAATTTACCTGCCAGGTGGCTGCACTAATCCTTAGCAGTCTGTTTGTTACAGGCTTACTTAGAAGAGCAGATAAATGGGTACATGAAACATTTTTTCATATGAGAGATGCCACAAATTAATAAACACCACAAAACCTGGTCTCTAGCATTCATATTCTAAGACTTGTCCATTCAGTAAAGGAAAAAGGTGGAAGAACTTGCCAGAATTCATTACATATAATCCCTAGGATTCCTGGCATTTGATCTTACTTCTTCCTTTTCAGGCTGAGTTTATATTTTCATGTATCAATATTCTCAGAGTACGGCAGTAAATGCAGTTGTTTTGGTGCAGTTATTCAGAAAATCCTGAAGGTTTAGGGCTCAGAACTGCTCACTAAGAAATGCTCTCCCAATGGGCTTTGATATGAATTATATGCCTATAAGAAATCAAAAGGCCTCAGCAGAAGCTTCTTGCTATTTCTACCATCAGATCAAAGTCTAAACCCACAAGGGGATTCCCAACGAGACTGTTACCAGTTTTCACCTACAGTAGGAATGTAGTAAAATGAAGCTTTCCTTGGCCTCTGGATAATTTTAATAATAAAACTGCATATTAATAATCCACATTTCTGCTGTTTGTTAACTGCTATAGAAAACTTTGTCTATCCTTATGTTGAGATACTTTTCTTTGTATCACAGCTGGGATGAGAGAGAGAGAGAGAGGGAAATAGCAGGGATTTCGCTAAGGACTGGAAACAAAAATAAACTCAGTGGCTGACTAGTGAAATTTCTTTCTTTTTCTTCTTTAACATACCCACCAAAATGCCACTCTTATTATAAATATCTTTGACAGTGTGGTAGGTCTGTACTCCATTAAAGAGAGGGAGAAGTATATGGGGAATATATCTGTTTAGAGACAATTTCAAAAGAACTTAAGGGTTTTAGGAGTACAGGTCTCACTGACTTTTAATGGGCTTTGTGCTGCTAAATCTTTCAAGCACATCTCGACCTAATACATTAGGTACATATATACTGTGACAAAGTTCCTGCTCTACCTTGGTGGGTCTTGCGCTTATTGGCGGATTTGCTCGCCTTGGAGCTTTATGGCAGCCCTCAGCTTGGCCATTTTTCTGAATTCACAGTCCAGGTTGACTCCTCCTGTGTCTGACCAGGAGTTGGGAGGATTTGGGGGAAACCCGGGCCCGCCCTCTACTCCGGGTTCCAGCCCAGGGCCCTGTGGAATGCAGCTGTCTAGAGTGCCTCCTGGAACAGCTGTGCAACAGCTATAACTCCCTGGGCTACTTCCCCATGGCCTCCTCCCAACACCTTCTTTATCCTCACCGTAGGACCTTCCTCCTGGTGTCTGATAATGCTTGTACACTTCAGTCCTCCAACAGTCCGCATTCTCACTCTCAGCTCCTCACACGCACACCACAAACTGAAGTGAGCTCCTTTTTAAAACCCAGGTGCCCTGATTAGCCTGCCTTAATTGATTCTAGCAGCTTCTTGATTGGCTGCAGGTGTTCTAATCAGCCTGTCTTAATTGTCTCCAGAAGGTTCCTGATTGCTCTGGAACCTTCCTGGTTACCTTACCGAAGGAGAAGGGACCTACTTAGCCTGGGGCTAATATATCTGCCTTCTATTACGCTCCTATAGCCATCTGGCCCGACGCTGTCACAATACCATTCAAGTACTGTAGAATAATAACCACAGAAATTTATAAAACAAAGAGATTCAGTGATTTTGCTTAGAAGAAAAAAAGGAAATAAAAATAAAGTACTTTCTCTGCTGTCTTCTACCGTTGGCTCAGGGCTGGGGTAGGGGGTGGCTAAGGGGGCTTTCTAGAGTGGCACCATTTCTGGGAAGAGCATATTTTAAGCTTCTCCTTCCTCCTCTGGTCTGCTCAGAGTTTAGGTCTGACCTTAGGTATGAAGTGGTAACAGGGGCTGAGGAGCTGTAATTAAATTGCTCTCTCTTCTCTGATTAGGTGGGGGCTGAGCGAGGGGTATTTCAAGGATAGGAAGCACTGTTTTGTGAAACAGCTTTTTAATTTTAAATTCTCCATTTTCTTCTCTTAATTCCCAGCCTCAGAGCCCAACTTGAAGGTGCGTTCCAGGTTAAAACAGAAGGTGACAGAAAGGAGAAGCAGCCCCTTACTCAGGCGGAAGGATGGAAATGTTGTCAGTTCATTCAAGAAGAGACTGTTTGAAGTGACAGGTAATTAAGGACTGGAGAGATTCTGCCGAAACAACTATGCTAGTTTAGAAGACCTGAAAAATAGTTTAATGGAAATGTAATTGTGTATTGAACATAGGTGTGGAGAGAGATTTCTCTGTCAGAAACGCAACTGTACTTAAGATACAATTGCATACAATAATTTGCTTTATTCACTTGTGAGAAGGGCACTGTCAACTTAAAAATCACACTTCCATCAGGACACTTTTTCTTACTTATAATAATAAGTACAAAAACAAGGAACCCATAGAATTGTTGGAATAAAAAGAGATTAGAAGGAAAAAGATTCTCTATTGTTCCTGTTTGTTTCGTGTGTGGGTTGGTAGCACTTTTGTGTAGTCAGTGTCACTGGTTCATTGCTGGTCTTGCATCGCTCTCCTGTTCTGCTCTGTGGAGAGTGTACAAGCTCTTCCTCAGGCTCTGTAAGAGGCTGTTTAGCAGTAGCAGCAGCAAAGCTAAAATGTAAACTGAAAAGGCAGCTGTATGTACAGAGTGGAAGAGGAAGGAGGGAGGCAGGAGCAGTCCATGCCCCTCCCAAAAGACAGCAAGGGAATAGAAAAGCCGATATAATGCTTTAAAGGGATAAAAAAAATGCTTTTAAAATACTAATATATACTATGTAAAGGTTGCACTATCACAAAAATAGATTAACAATACTTAATATAAACAAAATTCCTGTCCCTTTAATTTGAACAAGAAATGAATGAATATCTTTCATCATACTCCCAGCTAAAAAGGGAATACTAAACCCAAATTAATCTCTTCGAGAAAAGCAGACCTTTAGGAATGTAGAGAATGAACAGTACACAGATTTTAACAAATCAAAGCAGTAGTTTAACAGGCTTGCGAACAGCTCTGAAGCCAATACAATTTAAGGTCCTGATTCAGGAAAGTACTTATGCACATGCTTAAATCCTATTAACTTCAATGGGACTTGGGCACATACCTAAATAATGTCCTGAATAAGTATGTTCTCTCAAACTAAAACAGGACAGAGCATTATTTGCAACACTCTTATGTGTGTGTGTTCGCTTGTTCTTGGGCTCTTCTAACCAAGAGGAGCGGAGCCGGATAACAGTATTCTAATTAATGCATGGGTAATAGACACAGATTTAATTTATCTATAGTTGCTTAACTGAAGACTATGCAAAGCATACTCATGTCTTGAGCGCACATGGTTAATCATCCATTAAGTCAAGAGGAGGGCTGGTCCCCTGTTGCAACCTGAAGTAACCAGCTGCAGCTCTCCCCATTGTCAAATGCCAGCTGCATGCACTCAGAGCTAGAATGATTGAGAAGCATCTGGCAGCTGACAGTGCTGGAGAGGATGCTCTACTGCAGTGGTTCTCAAAGCCGGTCCGCCGCTTGTTCAGGGAAAGCCCCTGGCGTGCCGGACCGGTTTGTTTACCTGCCGCGTCCGCAGGTTCGGCCGATCGTGGCTCCCACTGGCCACGGTTCACCGCTCCAGGCCAATGGGAGCTGCGGGAAGTGGCGGCCAGCATGTCCTTTGGCCCGCGCCGCTTCCCATAGCCCCCATTGGCCTGGAGCAGCGAACAGTGGCCAGTGGGAGCCGCGATCGGCCGAACCTGCGGACGCGGCAGGTAAACAAACCGGTCCGGCGCGCCAGGGGCTTTCCCTGAACAAGCGGCGGACCGGCTTTGAGAACTACTGCTCTACTGTGCTCTTGGCTCTCAGCAGCAGCCCCTAGTGGAGGGAGGGAGGCAGTACAGTGGCAGCCACTGAAGGAGCTCTGGAGCTCATTTGCCAGAGGATGCTGCTGGAGACCTAACGACCTTCATGGGACCTCTGAAGTGTAGGGACCCACAAACCATATGAAGCTTTCTGGATGGGAATGCATGTGTCTGTATACAACTCCACTGAAGTAATTGAAATTCCACCTGCTTTTTGGCTTTGTGTGTTTTCCCAGAGAACCAAGATATGCTGTGTGAGAGAACTTGTATTCTTTTTTTATAGAGGGAAATGTTCCGTAATATTCAATAGCCCTCAGTGGCACTATTATGTCTTATGTATCTGCCAGCTTAGTTTATAGTGGGGTGATCTGACAGTTTAGTTTCTTTTGGAGTGTGCAGGTTAGAAATTCAACCTAAGTCTTTCGGATGTTTTTCCCTGTGTTAGGCTTTCTCTGAATTGAGTGATCTCCCAGGGTTAAAGAAATGTCTGAACATTTTGAACAAGATGGGCAAAATAAGAAATATCATCTTGATGATTTTTCCAAACATGGCGGAGGATACCTGATTCCTTAGAAGTGTTGCTTGGATTAACAATTTTGATGAGTGAGAGCTGATGTTTTCAAAAGAAAGAACTTGAAATGAGGGCAACTCTTCACAACCTTTTTGAAATCATATGTTTGACCACTCCTCCTGGTTCCCTTTGTTTGAAAATGTCAGCCTTAATTGTTTTTGATTTTAAGAACCCACCAAGGTATTATGTGACTTGAAGTATTTACAGACCTGTTTAAATATTCATTGGCACATTTTTCAGTCATAGCAGATGGTGCTGCTAGTAATTAGAAGGGATTTTTTAGCAGTTATAACATAAAAGTTTTGCACCTTAGGGAGAAAAGTTGCAGAGAGGAAAAAAAATGCAAAGTGAAAGATTTTAGGTTAATTAAAATTGGTTTTAAATTCCTTTCCACACATTTGAACTAAGTAAATGAAGAGGCCAGTTATCTTTGGATAATAAAGTATACTTTTGCATATTATGTATGCTCATAAAGTGGTTATATATGTTTAGCGTTAGTGTACCATTATCATATATGTTATCTTGGAAAATTATGGCTGAACTTTTCTTTGAAATGTCCCCTCTGCAAGCACATTGGAATCCAGACTCCTGAACATGCAGACATTGGATGCTTTCAGGGCCTGGCCCATTAATCTGAATAGAATAGGAGAATCTACAACGTCTGCGCCTGATTCCGATGTCACTTGCTCTTGTTTGACACCACTGCAACTCCACTGGATCACACTTGGTTTACACTTGTTTCAATGTGATGAGACTTAGGCCTTGTGTATATAAGGGTGCTTGATTACTGCTCAGCTGGTTATATATATCGGCATCCATTAGTCAAGGAAGGGTTTAATTAAATCAGTGCATCTCACTGATTTTACATCACCATGTAGCTATGACACAATGTAAACAAATTAAGTTCCCTGTCCAATAAGTGCAGTTTTCAGGACAGCTTTTCACAGGGTTTATTACAGACTATGGGATTGTGACATGGGTGCAAATGTAAAAAAAATCACTCTCCTGTTCTTAATCTCCAGGGAGCAGCTGAATACAGAGCTTTCCATAATATTGCTGTCTGACCAAGATATTCCCAATTAATTTCACAAACACTGGTGTTAAGTGTAATTGCTGAATTTGTTGGGGATCTAAGGGTTGGCGTCTTATTGCTGATTCTCTCTTTACTGACACTCTTTCCATATATTTCTAGAGTGGCCCATTCCTTTGTGATACATATATTTTCAAGTGAGTTTCAAAGTAGAACATTAATGATTTTAGTAATAGAGCATTACCTATAGTCATAGTTAAAGTACATGACTGGGTGTTGGCACGTTTCTATTCTAATCCTGACTCTGTGACTGATTTATTATCAATGATTGCTTATATTCCTGAAATTATATTCTCATTCTCTAATTTTTACAAGATTGCCATTGACTTGTTTGTGATTTTTTTCCCCGTCATACTTTGTATAACCCCCCATCGGCTAAAAGTACAGCTGATCAAACATTTTCTGTTGAATCCTTTTTTAGAAAGAAAATGACTTTTTGACTAAAGTAAAATTGATACAAAAAACCCCAATGATCATAAAGTTGTTAGAATCTGAAAAGCAAGAATTATGAGTTTGTGATTTCATTTAAAAAAAAATTAAAACCTGAAATATTTTTGAGCAAAAACATTTCCTGACCAGACCTATATTATTAGTTTATTGATGGGACAGTGAATTGCAGAAATGTACTCTAGCTGGGAGTAGGAATGGTTCCTTAACGTCACTAGCAAAACTTCCGTTTTCTTCAGTGACAAGAGGAGTGGGAACCTAGCAAACTGACCCCAAAAAGAGAGCAAAGAATTGGTGATAGCCATAAATTGATAGCTCGCTAATTAAAGAAATTCTCTAAATTATCTTAATTTTCTTGAGATAGTTTGTATGAAAGATGTTCTATAAAATATTCTTATCTCTGCTAACACCATACAATTCTGATTTTAGTTATTTATATTCTTTCCTTGTTCTGTACAAAAAACTCTCGTCATCAATATAGGATTTATAACAGTAAGATGTGATGAAGATCAACTAGATCATTAAGTCCATTCCTTTACAAGTGCAGAATACCTTCCCATGGTATATACATCACCGATAGCAGATGTATCATTTCCTAAACATATTACCTTTCGTCTTAACCAAAACTCCTGGGAGTTTTTTCACCAAACCCGAGTAAATTATAGCCCTCAAAATGCTATTTTAAGATTTTGTATGCTGCAAACAGTCCCTCATACCTTGCTGACAGAGATGTATTGCAAATGGTGTATTGTTTTTTATTGGTTACTCATATAGAGGTTAGTTCACAACTAAATACTCCGGAGCCCTTCCCAAACAGCAAGGGAATGACAGTAGGCCTCATGAATTGATGACATGTTATCATGACCTTTGCAAGTCTACTGTTTCTGTCATTTTGATCTCTCACAGAGGCAGAAGAGTATGCAATAAAAAGTACTTCCTTTCCTTTTTCCTCATTAGGAGTTCTGTTTGTACATCTCTGCCTTCCACTGAGTAACTTGCCATCTTTGCAGGAAACTCAAGTAATAAATTCCCCCTTTGTGCAGAAGGGATCAAGAGGAGAAAAGAATGAAACTATCTATCTTTTTAAGATTGCAAACAAATTGGGACTGAGAGAAAATCCTTAAGACAGTAAAAAGTCCATTCATACAGGAAAACTATTCTTCAACAAAAGAAAGACTATGCCATAAGCAATATATTGGTCATTATAATCGCAGCTGGATTTCTGTGTTACTTGTAAATTCATGTGTGCTTAATCTTTTTTCAGAGTCATCAGTTAGTAGCAGTTCTCCAGGAACAGGGCCCAGCTCACCAAGCAATGGCCCTACTGGAAGTGTGACAGAAAATGAAACCTCACTTTTGCCATCTAATTCTCAAGCTGAGGTAAGAATAATACACTCAATCCTTTTATTGACCAGGTAATTGCTTAGCTTTTTAAAGTTGGATAAAGCACCTTAAAGACCATAATTGCTCTCTGATTTCCTTCCTTCACCTGGAAGTCACAGTAACTGTGTGTGAAAGAGAAACTGTCTTGTATTTCAGATGGCAGTGGAAACTGGTCTACGGCAGAGATATGATGGTGCTGAGATACACTGTGGAATGACTGTTTTGATATATCATAATGATTATTGGTATCTTAGAAATAATGAAATCCCATGAAATAACACCAGTGTTTCTAAATATTAACATAAACAACTGATACGCAGGATACTGCAAAGTACTTTGCTTTGGAATCTTATTTGGAGCAAATGATACTCCAGCAAAATGCTTTATGCTCTCACACACGTATAAATGTAGGGCTAAATTTTATCTGCTTTAGGGTTTGTCTACACATGGAATTATTCCTGAGTGACTATCTCTGTAGACAAGCTCTTACTCATGCTGAGTAGTACCTTGCTCTGTAAGTAGTCTTTTACAGTTTATGCTAGCTAAGGTCCGACTCATTCCTGTTCTGAGTTCCAGTCTGGAACAGAGGAATTCTGGAAGTTGTAGTTCCCTGAGGGACAAGGGAACTGTAGGCTGGTACAAAATATGCTGGGAAAGGGGCCAGGGATATAAAAGATCTCCTTTTTGCTTGCTGTGCAGGGTACAGCTAGCTGGGGAGGTTCTTCAGTGTCCAGGTTTTGAAGACCAGTGGTGGTACACCCAGAAGAGGAGTCAGAGAAGGAGCCCGGGGGAGCCATACTGTAGAATAAAGGGAAAGGAGTTGTGGGGGCAAGACAAATATAGGAGGCGGCTTTGAGGGGAAAGTGAAGCAATGACCATTGAATTTGGAGTGGGCAGTCACCTTCACTCTTTGGGTTTCTAGGGCCAAAGCATGAGCTCCCCTGTGGCACTAAGGTGCCAGCTAGAAGGGCTTGGTTATGCTCCTCAAAGGAAGGAGGGTTACACAGGGTTACACAGACTGCAAAAAGAGAGCTATACGCAGAGTCACTGACTTGTATTGTGGACTTCTTGTTTTGCTTACACAGTAGGATATTTTCGGTTTAGCCAAAGGGCTAAACTCATTAAACCGTGAAAGGGAGGCTCTGAGGAAACTGAGGCGGCAGCAGCCGTACCTGTGTCAGAGTGGTGAGACACTGTTACGTAGTCCCATTAATGTACATGGGAATGCTCATACAATAAGGCACTACTCACTGTCAGTAAAGTGGCACAGTGAAGCTATGATGGTTTCCAATGAAAACATAAACCAGAAGAGTGAAGCATAGCTCATCAGAACTGTGAATGAAGAAATACAGCCTTACAATATGCACACTTCAGGTGTATTGCATCTTGTTTAATGTGGGCAGACCAACAGAAAGCACAGATACGTAACATAAACTCCCCAAGTAATATATAGTAATTGACAACATTTACTGTTTTTCTTATGACGTATGTATTTGTTTGTTCTCCTACATATGTTTCTCAGAGGTAGTAAAATAATAAATTTAGGTGTTTTGTGGCAGTGTACTCCAGTAACTGAATTAAAAAAACAAAAACAAAAGAGAGATGCTGTAATCTGTTGATAGCATAGCTGTGAAATAGCTTTATATCATAGTTGTAACTAGCTGGCCAGGTGAGTTTTGCTTTGTTAATTAAATAGAGATATACATTCAAATATATGTTCTTGCAGTATGTTTAGAAATTCCTTTCACAAGATAATGTATTTAGTTTATTTTCAGATATGACACACACACCACAACACATCCAGTAAGGCATAATTGGTCTTAGCATCCCTCCAACTGCTGACAAATGTATTAGAAATCAAAGAGCAGATTGTACGAGCTAGACACAAGGGCTAATAGCTTTATTAATGGAGAGAGCGTTCCCATCGATTCCATAACGTATATTAAAACTTTACTATTTCCTCCACTTATAAGGCATCCTGAACTGTAACTTTCTACTTCTTCCTGTCCCCTCCCTGTCCCAGCCTCTATTATAAACAAACGGCAAGGAGAGGAGGAGGAGACTTGCAGCTTAAGATCCTGCAGGAATGATGCTAGAGGGGCAATTTCTTCCTCTGGGTTGTGCTTCCTGTGCATCTGCAGAGTGGAACCTCTATCTAGCAGACCTGAGCAGGTCTGTCAGATTTCCACTGCAAAAGGTTAACATCTCCAGTAAGACACTGTGGGGAGGGGAAATGGAGAGGGGCACAAAAAGGTTGCTGCATATACCCGGGTGTTTGTGGGGCCCCTGGACCTTTAGCTTCAAGGACCACACAACACGTAAAAAATTGCAAAAGGGTCTCATTTTAAATTTCCTATGTAAAAATTAGTAAATACTTTACCAAAAATAAATAAATAAAATTAATAATAATAATTATGGAAAATTCAATTGTCATCTGAAAACTCACTGTGCTATTTGGAAACAAAATTCTCAGTGAAATAGAAGGATTTTAATCCTGCTTCAAGTATATATCTCAACATAACCTTAATAATGGAGTCACTATTGACACCTCCAGAATTTGGTATTGACAACCATGTGACAAATTGTATTTATCATCATTGACTGCCTCACCTGCACTCTGCCCACTAATCCATTGCCCCAGGACTGCTTTTAACATTCCAAAACTCTCAGGAATGTCAAGCATCTGGCGTTATTTTAAAAATAAACTTTCTAAGGAAGTGGTTCCCTGTCCCTCAAAATGTGAATATTCTCCCTTCCCCCACCTCCAATTATGTTGGCCTAAGACCCAAATGGATATTAATCACTCCAGATGGGTGTAGAGTCCAATATCTTGTTACCTGTCAGAACAACAAACAGAAGTTCAATGCTATAGGATAGTGGAGTTTCCTAGTTTCCCCAGGGGCCAACCAGCATATACCTCTAGCCCTGGAAAGTCTTGAGGGATTAGACAGAAATGTCCTGACATTTTTTATTTATAAACATGATTTTGTCATTTTTTGAATTATTTTGAATTGTAGTAATTTTCTCTCATGCTGAGTGTCGTGCAGTTAGGCAGAGGGTATTCAAGGCCCTTACTCAGCAAAGCACTTACATCCAAGTTAACCTTAAGCAGTGAGTAGTCTAATTGATCTCTGATTGATTTGGATGCTTAAAATTAAGCATGTGCGTAAGTGGTCTGCTGAATGCAGGCCCTAATGAACTGGCTTTAAAGGGATAAAAAAATAGCTCCCAGCACACTACATATGTATACACCCCCCCCCCCGCCCCCCTACAATTTGGAAAACCTAACTTGTGGTAAGCAAAGTCCTGCCTTACTGTATTATTGAATAATCTATTAGTTATCAGTTATTATTAAAATGAAGGATGTGTGGCTAAAGCATAGGGCTGGAAGTCAGGAGTCTTATCCTCAGAGACATCATGTGTGCCCTTAGGCAAGTCACTCAGTCTCTCTGTGCCTCGTTTTCCCTATCTGTATAATAATTCCCTAACATAACAAAGGTGTGAGGAGGGTTCATTACTGTTTTGTAAAGCTCTCTGAGGTTTTTAGATGGAAGGCACAATACAGGTACTAATTATTTATTACTTTCCTCCCTCATACAATATTTGCAATACACATGCCAAAGGCAGTTTTTCCCTATTAGTGCCAATACACGCAAAAGGACATCTCATTCAATGCTAAGATTTGTATTCCACCCTATCTTCTGCAGCTAATGTCCATAATCATAACTACTTTGATGGCCTAGCTTGCTGTTAATTGTTTTATATTATCTGCTGATTAAACAAAAGAGCATGCGGAAATGTGACTTACCAGAGTTTGGGCTAATGGAGCTGTTTCTCCAGGTCAGTGGCAGGACATTCACCTCAAAAAAACTGGATTGGCTAGTTCAACCTCCAGCAGGGATTCTTCCCCATAATGAATTAATTGTGTGTGTGAACTATGATCCAGAGGGCAGGTAGGTGACCTCTGCACACTGATTAGTAGCCTCTCTGTGGCACAGAGAAAACAAAAAAGTTACATTGATGGCTAACATGTGGTTTTGCCTCATCGCCCCCGTATGGGATTGTAAAGAAATTCAGATTATGTATTGCAAATTATAAAAAAGTTCAGACCACAGACTAGTCAGTACAGTGGGATTAAAATAGTGTATTTTCACCTTGGGAAGCACAACTTCAAATAGGGGTATAATAGGGGTGTTAATGCTATATTAGATGGAAAATCATATGGAATTGGATACTACAGCTACTTGAATACTTTGCCATTAACGCTAACACCACAAAATAGAAAAGGGAATAATGATGCTTATTTGGGCTTATTTACAGTGTTTGGTACTCTGAATATTCTAGCTCCTAGACATTTGTACACATCATTAAACCACCACAGACACAGTTTACAATCCGGTAGTCTCCTTAGCAGATGCAGAACTTCCAAAGCCAATTTGCGGCAGCTTCATCAGGAAGAGCAGAGCCCTCTGACCACAACCAAAACTGGCCAGTCTGGTGTGATGGGTAGTCTCTGTTCAGGAAAGGTTTGGAAAGACTGAAGCTCTAGGACCATTAGGACTGTATTCTGTGCATTGCTAGAACACTACATCGCAAAATCATCTTCCCTTGCTGTGCCAGGCAATGGTGGTATTAGTCTCTTACTATCATGAGGGCTGAAATGAGCCTAAAAAGCTATTTTAAAAGCTGAGCTCTATGTGCTGGAGCCACTCACTTAGCTCTTTGGCAGAACACTTGGAAGCTGAAACCACTGGCTTCCATTTCTGGCTCCAGTCAGAGACTTCTTTACCTCACTGGTTACTTGATTGTTAATTTTGTGGTCCTGTGGGTGCAAACATTTTTCCATAGATCTCAACATCAGTACATTTTGATTTTATTTAATAGTTTATTAGTAACCAAACAGCTGAATATTTCTTCTGTAGTTGAACATTAGCTGCCAGCTCTCGAATGGTCTTTATTTAATCAATTTTTTGTCAGACACACAAAGTACAGAGGTTTCTAATAATAGGTTGTGTTCTAAAATCATGCAAAATGTCACTTGTTTTGCCGTAACCCTGCATGACTCACTCTGCTGTTGTTTCCTAATAGTTATTGTGACATTTGCAGTAAGTGTTGTATTCACATCCGAGTGGGCGTATGGCCGTGGTATTCATGGTGGCAAATGAACATTTTTTGCTGGGGAAAAACAGGTTGCGATGACAGAAGAATCATTTACCAGTAAAAATCTGAGTCAATACTGTAAATGATCACACTTTAGTGACTAGAGCAATATCAGTAATGAAATGTTGATTCTTTTAAAACATTTCTGCCTTAATCATTTAAATAGCAATCCCTTAAGTGTCTTAACCCACAGCGGGCAGTGTGGTAACCATTTATTTAAATTTTCTGAAAGCACAGAAGAGCACTGTGAGTAAGAAACCTTGCAGATAAATTCCTTGCTATCAATTTCTCTAATAGTGATTTCAGTAACCAGTCTGTTAAAAGACTTTCTGTTATTATATGAGCCTTAAAAGTTAAAAACAACTTTTATTTATAAGATGCAATTATAAGTTTATTAGACCTAGGTTTTGTCTCTGATGTTTCAAGATTCACTGCGGTAACTATTTGTCTGTTGGAGCAAACCATATATTTTCAAATGACATGCTGTGCTTGGCTAAACCCTGCCTGCCTTTTTCATGCAAGGATTCCCTATGACTTCATTGGGACAGCTTGCCTCACTAAGGCACCATTCAAACATAGGTGCTAACTCTAAGCACAGAGAGGGCCTGAGGCAAAGCCCAATGAAATCCCATTCATCCCATTCATCTCAATGGGTTTTAATTCAGGCCCATACAGAATCCACTTACATTTGGTGTACAGAACTTTTGGAGACTGGTATATTGAAGGTAATAGGAGAAACTGAACTGCCTGATTATATGGAGGACATAAATAAACACACATGGTATAAATGTCTCTTAAACCCATCTTGCATAATATTAGTTTATGAACCTCAGCTTTGAGAAGCACACTTAGTAGGTCTTCAACGGTAAAACTTTTAAGTCTCTAGCCAGCATTATGAAATTGGAATTCAATCCAAACATGAAAAAGGAATGTACTTAATTTTTAAAACTAACGAAAAGAACAGAAGTATAAAATAAAAGAAAGTTCTTACTTCTGAGTGCCACTTATTCTGACTGTTCAAAGCAATGGTAACTTCAGACACTGTGTCTGCAACTTGGAAGATTTAAAGCCAAAAGAAAATAGTCCCTTTTCCTCCAATAACATGTGTGTGTGTGTGTGTGTGTGGGAAAGGGAGAGAGAAGTTGATATTAGACAGTAAAGCCACACACTGCTACATCTAATTACTGTACTTACATTTTAAGAATTAAGTGAACCTGACTGATAGGATTGTTTCTTTTAAAACACTGGCAGGCTGGAAATTTTCTGCCTCAACAAATGGATGTTGTGGGGGACAGGACTATGCTCCATTAGCTTAGGCTATGTCTACACTGGCAATTGAAAGACAAAACTTTTGTCTTCAGAGGTGTTAAACCCCGTCCCCCCTTCCACCGTCCTCCGGAAAGACAAAAGTTTTGCCACGACAAGTGCCAGTGCGAACAGGGCAAGTGCTGCTCATTGGCGGTAGAAGTTTTTTTGTCAGCAGGAGAGCCAACAAACAGCAGCTACACACACTGCACAACTTTTAGTAAATGCATGGCACAGCAGCCTTAGTAAATTGTCTCTAGAGTAACACTTACAGTTGCTCAAAGACAGACATAGGCCCTGATTCCACAGTAACCTCCATGCAAGTGGCCCCCTGAGTCAGCATAAAGCTCATTTCAGGATATGGGTCTCAATATGGCCTTAATCTGAGGGTTGTAGAACAAATACCAGTTGATTGTTAAAAGAAAATGACTATGTTGTAGAGGCATATTCATGCTGTTAAATTTCAGTGCAAATGTTATTAATAATCAATTTTTTTAACACAGCTGTCTTATTACATATGGTTAACAGAACAGATTAGGAGAGATTCAGTTTTAACAGCCATGGCATTGCCTTTTAGTGCTTGACTTATTCCTTAAATCCCATCATTTCACTCTTGTTCCTCAATTCACACCTTGGAATTTAACAGTGGCATATCATAAAACCAAAAAGGAAACATATATTTTTTAAATGCAGCACCATATAGATGCTGCAACCAGTACAAGTCTGATGATGTCCTAAAAAGAGGATTACATGTTTACAGCATCTCTTTTGGTAAGATCTTTATAGCATTTCACACTAGTTTTGTGTATTTTGGGCATACTTCATTTTAATAATGTATATATTTGGATGTTATCAAGCAAGTGCAATTTTAATGGGAAATTAATGTAATATACAAATGAAGCAGTTTCTTTACACTTGTGTTCCATACAGTCCATATCTCTTCTCTTTCATATGCTGTCTTCTAGCATTCCCAAGATACCAAGAGAAAATTACACATCGAGACTTCTACTGTTATTGTCTCAGTGATAGGTCTTATTTCCAAACAAACTATGAGGAAGGTTATGTTTTGGAATAACATCCTGTGTTTTTTGTGCAGCACTAGTTTTCAGTGACAGTCTGAAGTTGCATTGTATTAGCACAAGGTATTTTCAAAGTTAATTGATATCCCAGGTTTGTCCAGGGGAAAATCTACTGCTCCCCACAACATGCTTGACAAGTTATTATATTTACTTTAGTCAAAGCCCGAGTGTGCAGTATCCCTCTTGGAGGTGGTCTATTATTGGAGCCCCATATGCTTTTTGTTTGGGAAGAAAGCAGTCACTGTGTCATACTGTTACACAGGGTATTCTTTTTCAGGGATGTTGTTCCCTTGGGGACCATATCATGCCAGAGTTCCTAAGCCTAATAAGACCTTTGTAGCTCTTATTGTGTAAAAGTTCTGGGAGGGAAGTAAGAGTTAAACAGAAAATGTAATTCAAGCAACTATACTAGACCACATGTTGAAAAACATGACCATTAAAGCAGAATGGCAGACGCTTCAAAAAGATTCCTCTTGCAGTAAGCATGTGATAATGTAACCTTTTAATGCTTCTTCCCACTGAATGTAAAATGGGTGCTTATGGGGGATCTTTTCAGAATACCTGTTTCTCTGTGCAGGGTAATTTAAAAAATCATATCAGAAATTATATGTCCTCTTCATAAGCGGTTTTATCATATGGTTTCAAAACAAGTGTGGGGACTGTCCAGCAAGGTGTTGAAATTGGAGGGAGTTAAGGAGGCTAAGCACTTCACGGGGCAGCTCAGCACCCAACAGCAATGGGGGGGCATGTTTTTTAACATTTTTTTTTTAAATGGCATTTGCTTCCTAAATCACTTTTTACTCAAACTTTCTCCATCCATATTAAACACTGTAGCCTAATGGTAATTTAGTGGCAAGGGGATAAGATACTCAGAATGAATAGTGTTGAATTACATTGGGTGAAGTTTTGCAGCAAGGCATATGAATTATACTCCTTTAGAACTTTTTCTTCCATTTTAATGAAAATCTCATTTAGGTTATCTGCTCTAGTTCTAGTAAGGAGGATATCCCTCAGCATATCCAAATGATATCCAATGCAGCTATATATGTGTCCTTACATCCATTAAGAGGTGAATCATCAGTGTTCCATAAGACATATTATGCAATCCTTCCTGAATATTTACTCAAGCAAAACTCGCATTGACCCTATAGCAATGAATTTGTGGTTGGTGGGAGAAGAGGTAATGGAGCAGGGAATCCTTAATGTTTTGGTTCGGCATAGGAATTTAACTGATTAACCAAGGCAGCATGGTAGGCAGGTGAATATTTGTCTCCATTTCAGGAAAAGAATCTCAGAGCTATCCTGGGGAAATATTAGTAGGCCCCAATACTCAGGATACTCAGTATATCAGGAAATGAAGTACTTTTCCCCAATATTTGGCATCTTAGGCACACTAACAAAGATAACTAACTAACTGGCTTTTGTTGCCGAAGGGTAATAGAAATAGGTGTTACAGATCTGGAGGTGATTTTTTTTCTTGTTTCAGCACTTGGTTTCTCAACAACGTATTCTGATTCATGAAGAATCAATGAACCTGTTGAGTTTGTATACGTCTCCTTCTTTGCCCAACATTACCTTGGGACTTCCAGCGGTACAATCCCAGCTCAGTGTAAGTGATCACTTTAAAAGGGTGTCCTTTTTCTATCATGTTTTTTTCTTTGAGACCAACCTCCCTTATCCCTGCTTTCACCACCCCCTCCTCTTCAACTTTTCACTCTTCTGTCGACTTTCTATCACAATACAAGAATACTCTGGTCTCTTTTCTCCTCAAAAAGCCATCTCCATCTCTGTTTTGTCTTTTTGGAGTGTAAGCAATTCAGGGCAAGACCCATGACTTCATTTGTGTTATACAGGACCTGATACACTGTGGGCACTACTTGAAACAATAAATAATCACACTGAATAATAATGAATAAACAAACGTAAGCATAACGCTCCATACAGTGATGTACCAAACACAATTTCTGAATTATAGGTACAAATGCTTGAAGCCACAAAAGTGGTGAGAGATACCTGGGTGGGTCATACAATTTGACCTTTTGAACTACTTTTGTACTGGTGACTACTATCGTCAATAAAATTTCTTCCAGGAATACCCTTCCAAAGCCAATAGTCTTTAAGATGACATTCTAATACTGACTCAGGCTGTGTTGGAGCTAATATATTTGGAGAAGTCCCTTGCATTTAAATTTCTTTGTATTTAAATGTTAAAATAAGTGCATGACTATGTAGACACAGTAGTCTATTAATGAATGACATTTCATGTTTACTCATAAAGAGAATATCAGGTTGAGAAAAAGTCACAGAACTCTAGGGGTGAAATCCTGGCCACGTTCAAGTAAATTAAAGTTTTGCCATTGAGTTCAGTGGGGCCCAAATTTTACCCTAGGACTTCTTAGTTCAGTTTGACTGCCAATAAGGATTTAAAATAGGTTTTATGATGACTCTGTACAATAATATGGAATATTATTAAGAAATCTCTGCAATTTAAGATTTAATTTATGACACAGTGGTATGACTTATGAATTTGGTAGAATTTATATAAATTCTACATGTATAAATGAGTATGTGTCACTTTATAGTATGCAAGAAGTTTCATTTTAAATATGCACTTTATTATGGTTTTCAGTACGGTAGTACTTAATTTGAATGCTAAATCTAGTTCAAGTTTTATATCATACCTGTTTCTTTTTTCCAGTACAATATAATGTCATTATCTCTGATATATTGTTGTTACTTAGTTCATTTCTGAGGGAAAATATTGTACTATTTTCTAACATCAGACACCTGGAGAAGTTTGCAAAAGAAAATTTTGCAACTCTACATAAATTCTCTAGGAATCTTGCATCAGACACTTGTAAGCAAATGATTCTAGTTAAGATACTGGTCATAAGTAACAGTGAGTAACATTCCAAAATGCACTACTTATAACTAATTTTTCCTTTCTGCAAAAATGTCTTGTCCAGTTGAGAACAGGTACTAAGTAATGTCAAAGTAATTTATTACGTGAAATTAAAAGCTATTATCTTTAAAAAACACATACACACACACATCATATAAGCTTGTATTGAGATCAGTTAATACTAAATGCTACTTTTGGAAATTGAACAAACAGGGTATTTGATTTTTGCAAGGTAATGTTTATGCAATTGCTAGAATAAGATAGTGTAATTTAAATTGAATGTAGCCCACCATGGTGTTTTTTCAGGAGAGAATGGCAGAGGCAGAATGTGAAGTAAAAAGTATGTACAAGAAACTTAATGAAAAAGGTTAGGGTTTGCCTGACTAGAACATCTGGAATTCAGATAATCCGGGAATAGCTTTTTTTTACTATTACAAACTGAATGGTAACCATGTACAACCTGGGAAGACTCAACATTTATTATTGCTATTTATTACTTTTTTATCAACCCTTTTAAAAAATCTAGTTTATATTTTTCAGTGAAAATGTAAGCATCCATTAACTGGAACACAGATCTCAAGTAGATTTGCAATGGTAATTGGTCAAGATTTTCTGAAATGGATGCCTAAATTTAGGTCCTATAGTCTGTATTTAGGCACTTAAATCAGGGGGCTTTAAAGTGCCAATTGCCCAGCAGCTCCCATTGACTCCTGGAATCAAGATTGTTACTTTATAATCCACCCTGAGTAAGGAGGCAGTGTATAATTGTGCTGCCCCAGGAGTAGGCCAGAGAAGGAATTGCTTTGGGGGAAATAACATTCACCAGGTCTATACCAGCTGTAGTTAACATTCCATCTCACTTTGGCTCAGTATTGCTGATTGATCTATTGTGTGAGATGTGTGGAAAGCCAAAGCTCACCTGCTTCCCACTGAATTCAAGGCACCTGTTACCGTTGTTGCTCTCCTTCCCCCTGTACAGAAAGTGTTGATTTGAGTGAGTTATGCAGGGCACTAGGGAAGGCCACACTTCCTTACACACCATTGTAAGGAAAGGTCACAGTCTTGCCCTTCGAGAACAACCTCTTTATTTCTGGTTCCCTGTGCATTGATGCCACTGTGTTAAAATAACTGGCATGTTTTCCATTTTCAGTCAATAGACACAGGGTAAAATGGGGATTTTCTTTTAAATTATAGTATAAATAGCTCAGCTAATTATGTGGAGACCTAATGGACCAAGTCTTTGAAAAGCAGCTAACATTTCTGATGTATCTTAACACAGGCTTCATCTTCACTTAAAGAAAAACAGAAGTGTGAGACCCAGACCCTGAGGCAGGGAGTGGCTCTTCCTGGACTGTATGGGGGAAACGTGCCTCCCTCTTCAGCTCAGCCTCATATTGCTCTAGAGGGAAAACCTAACAGTAGCCATCAGGCTCTCCTGCAACATTTGTTACTGAAGGAGCAAATGAGACAGCAAAAGCTTCTTGTGACTGGTAATTATCACAGGCTTCACTGGAGTGTCCTTTAGAGCTTTTTTTAAACTGGAGTTTTACAAGAGAGTGACTTCATTTTTAAATGAAATGCAATACATGAATGCTACAGTGCTCAGCCATTTGTGGGGGGTGGGGGGGGGCAGGAGGGGAAGCAGTGTGGTGTTTGATTTTTTTCTCCTGCTTCCAGTGAGATCTGCTCCAATCTCTTGCTTCTGCCTCCAAGGGTAAAATGATTGCAGAAAATGTAGTAGCTTTCTCTTGGGGCTATCAAACTTCCTGTTGTTGCTGGGCATGTGCTAGGAATATTATTTTATTGATATTACTGCAAAGTTCTTCAGTACCCCAGCGACCCTGAAGCTCTCCCTGACTTTTATGTTTTCTTAGTTTTACTGATCCTCATATTTGATGAGTGAAATGTCATTGTTTTGCAGGAGGGGTTCCTCTCCATCCACAGTCTCCATTAGCAACAAAGGAAAGAGTCTCACCTGGCATCAGAGTTGCCCACAAGTTGCCTCGCCATAGGCCCCTGAATCGAACCCAGTCAGCTCCACTGCCTCAGAGCACCTTGGCCCAGCTGGTCATTCAGCAGCAGCACCAGCAGTTCCTGGAGAAGCAGAAACAGTACCAGCAACAGATTCACATGAACAAAGTGAGCTCCCAAACTAAAGCCTTTCCAATACATGCAGAGAATGAAAAACTAACAAGATAGCGTGGATATCTGGTACAATGCTGTACTTGAGCAGCACGGAAGTCCCTGCTACACGTGTACATTATATATACATAGGCATGTCAGGTTTGGGTGTGAGTGTTAATGTTAGACTACATATCCATTTTCTGTCATTCCTAAAGATTGTTCAAAGTTGGTTCTCTGGGCATCAGCATTAGGAAGAATATAATTAAATGAAACAGCAACCAGATTCTCTCAAAGTTTTAAATTACCATTTTAAGTCAGTTTCCTGTCGTATTGATAAATGATTCCTCAAAAGATTATTGGATTTATTTTTGACTTATTTTACTTCCCATTTTGCTGTTGGGAGGCAATTCTGTGTTGCTACCTGTGATTCATATTTTAAGCTTACTTGATTAATGGTGAGCAATACATTGGGACTTCTTCAAAATCCACCTCCTTTTCCATCTAGAGGCTTTACTGATCAGCCAAAGCAACTTTTTTGTAACCTTCCATCAAGACACTGCTTTCCATATAAAATTGACAAGTAATAAAAAGTTCATTGCCTGCATGTCAGGATAAAAGATTAGTATGTCAGAGGAGAACCAACTATTGCTACTAATAAATTTGGGGCTCAATTCTACTACTCTTCCTTATATAAAGTAATACCTTATTTTATTCATAGCAGAGACAATATAGTTTAATAAAAGAGGTAAGTTATAGCCATGAACAATGCCACACTCTAATACTGAGATATGTGAGTAATTAAATGATCTAATCCCAGGAAAACCTTTTTAGTGCACACCCTTCCGTCTTACTCATTGTACTATACTCATTTTTGAGTTGAAGTTAAATGTATGTTTGCCAGACTGCTTTGAATAATTTTGACACATGTGAATCAATGCATCTTCCCTTTTTCTATCTTGTCAGAGAATTATTTGATGGGTATCTATGAAAGTCAGTCACATGGGAGAAAATAAGATGAAAAGCAGGCATGTTGCCCTTGTACATCGGAGAAAGGATCAACCCATCTCACTGGTGAACTTCTCTCATGGGGTGCTGATTTCTTGGAATCTGTTAGGAATTCCCAACAAAATTAGAAACAAACCCAGAGTTTAAGTACATAGTTTGTACAGTGGTTTGGTTATTAAATCTTGTCTTAATTAGGAAAAATGAAGACCAGAAAACTTCAAAGTTCAGAGCTGATCCTTGCATGTTAACCCCTCTCAGCTAGGGTGTTTTGATTACTCAACTAGGACTCCAGTTGGCTTTTCTTTGAGTATGCGTTCCATATGTTTAATCAAGATGGCATATGTACATCTTGTAGCCTCTAGGTTTTGAAAATATTTCACCTGCCCTCAATTGTCTGAAAAAAAGAGAACTTTTTATTAGCGGGTAAAGGACTGAGTCTTCGCATTGTTAAAAGGTATCCACAGCAAACAATGATCATGCTTTTTTTTCACAAAATGAAGAATCAAATCTATATTTGTATGAAAGATAAACCTGTGATTCTATTGTAAGACAGTCTGTAGCTTTTAGGGATAAATAATATGAGCTTTAGGGGTGTCTATCCTAAATGTGTCTAATGAAACTTGAATCAAACAACATCAGAATGGAATGATACTGAAGTAGTAATTACTAATCTTTTAATTTTATCCAGGCACACATTTCACCCCTTAGGAACTGGACTGTAAAGGCTGCGTTTAGTCTGTGGTTCCATTGTGAAGTTTTTTTTCTTGGTTAAAATGTAATTCTAAGAAAAGAAACAAAAATTTATGGGACTAATCACGTCTTGAGACACATACACTTAATTAGTTAGTTAATCTTTGGCATTGGAGAATAAATGCTTCTGAAATATTGCTCTTATTTATTGTGGGTAAACTTAACTGTGCCATGTTCAGCCAGTCAGCAGCATCTAACCACTGATTTACATCTATGGTAGAAATTAGCAAGGACTATAGTATTCAGTGGCCCAATATCTCCTGAAAATACTTTGTCACACTCGTTTTTACTGGTCTTCTGATCACGAGATTGTGGCCATGATTTCTGGGCCAGCATCCGATGAAGAGGGCTGTAGCCCACAAAAGCTTATGCTCTAATAAATTTGTAAGTCACTAAGGTGCCACGAGTACTCCTGTTCTTTTTGTGGATACTCTGAAACCATTCTTGTAACTGTACATCTTAGAGAGATTACTGAAAAATGCTGCTGTTCTGGTCATGTAGCTGTTCTCTGCAAACCTACACAAAGCAAGAGGTGATCTTCATATATCTAAAGGGAGAACCTGTATAAATAAATTTAAAGAACAGCCACCATGAGGCTATAGAAGAGAGTGATGACTGAACAACTGAGAAGGCGGGTGATCATTTTGAGTACTGTGGTAACTTAAAATGTTATATGAATGAGAGTGAAACATACAATTGTGTTATTAAATTATTGCTTGAGATTGAACAGCACTTCACTTACAATAAGCTTTTGATGTTTACCTGAACTATGAAATTATTCACCACAGAGTGTACTGTGTTCACTCTTAAAATTTTGCTAAAAAGAAATAATTCAAAACTGTCTTTTCATCTTCAGGTGGTCCGCTTGTTTTGGATAAAAACATTTGTAAAGGCATTAATCAACTGTATAGGATAGGGTTGATCAGCTAAAAGTTTGCTCTACTTGAAGTTAAAGTTATCTGTTCATGATATCCTACTAATGACTTTAGTTTGTGGGGCTATTTAAAACAAAATAAAAACGGCTTCAATGCTGGATTATTTGGTTCTTAAACAATACAGTGCAGCGTCTTTCCATGTCCCAAGCATATATGTGCATCTAATGTTTTCCCACTGGTCCTATTGCTCATTGCATTTCTGTAAGAAGGCAGTAAAGTGAAGTATCCAAAAATCTATCATTCTATTTCCTAAATTTTGTTTATGAAAAGGTGCACTTTATTTAATAAATCAGATAATCTGAAGCATTTTCTTAGCAGTTTTAACTTGGAAAGCCAGGAAAGCAATTTTTGAGATGGCAAGACTCTCGAAATAAAATAACACTCAGTTGTTATGAGCTCAGGACAAGATACTATCCCTTTCCCCTGCATCTTCTTACTCTGCCCTTCTGGAAATTACTGGCATTTCATGACATATTTATTTTTAAAACTTTAAATCAATACTTTTTTAATAATGCAAATGGAAATACTGTATTTGATGTTTCAGCTTGGAATAATTCTTTATGGCATGATATAAACCCCTGAACGTCAAGGAATCTCTTTTTATGGCAATTGGGAAAATTGAGCTATAGCAGTGACAAGGGGAAAAACAGTGGCAATACAGCTAAACTCATGATTTGTAAAGCATTATAGTTTGCAAAACTACAGGCATAAAATATGGTTCCTTTTCTTTGTAAGGGAAATATACTTCCAGCCACAAGCCAAGGCTGTGATTAGAGTGATAAAAAACAAAACCTAACACAGGCCAGAGGTAAAGATTTCCCTGGATCATTTCCACTCTAAAAAGAAACAAATCATTGAGCCAAGAGGTGTGCTTCTATCCTTAGTAACAAAGAGAAGATTCCCCTGTGGACTACTTCTGGTCAATTGTCAGATGGCAGGTTTTTGATGTGGGAAATAGTACACCTCCTCACTAGAGTCTGACTTTATACCTACGGGATCTAGTACACTGACCTTTTCAAAACATTCTAGCTGAAATGCAAATTTTGACATCCCATCCAGAAGTAGGTGGAAAGCCTTGCCCTTGCTTTTGAAAAATCAAATGTGTGGAAACCTGAACTGGGCTTTTCTTTTGGAAGATAGGCTTTGCTGTTGTCAGATTTAATACACTTCTGTCCAAATGACAGCTTATTTCCTTGTGGAGTCCTTTGATCAGCATTTTAGAACTTCATTTTACCCAATAAAAGGAATAGCATGTCTACAAACCCAGTTAAACTTATTGTAGCAGGTACCAAAATACTGACATTGCAACAAAAATCTTACTGTTTCGCTCCTTATGTTATTTGGGTATCTAAAGAACCTTGACCTTACTACTTAAAATATGTGATTTCTGCATAATTAATATAAACACAAGGCCATTGGCAGATGTCTGAATTTAGGAAAACCTCAGAAATTAAAGCAGTGAGGGAATTAAGTGAACATGCTCTGTTCCTTTAGAAGCGGTTTTATCAGTGCAGACTGTGAGTGAAATCCTGGCCCCAGTGAAGCTGATGGCAAAACTCCCAAAGATTTTGATGGGACTAGGACTTTACCCCATCAGTGTAGGAGCACTTCCACATATTGTCATTACATAACATATTTATATTGAACTAAGTGTTCAGTGTTACTTTGTAATGATGAAACTTTGTACTGGAGAGGGAAACTAAACAGTCAAGTTATGGGACAGTTTGCAATATACATTATAATTCCCAATGCTGCTTTCATAACTTAAAGATAAAAGAAGGAGGGCTTGACCTTCAGTTTTCACTTCAGGCTGTTAATCTGTTCATAAAGTCTTTTACTTGGATGAGAAAACAATGGTTAGGTATGACTGTGAGGTGAGAAAAGGAGAAAGAAAATACACAGGGAAATGAAATGAGAGTACTTTAGATTATAGCTCAGTGGTTTGAGCATTGGCCTGCTAAACCCAGGGTTGTGAGTTCAATCCTTGAGGGGGCCATTTAGGGATCTGGGGCAAAAATTGGGGATTGGTCCTGCTTTGAGCAGGGGGTTAGACTAGATGACCTCCTGAGGTCCCTTCCAACCCTGATATTCTATGATTATGATAATAACTGAGATAAAGCATATAAAGAGAGGGAAAATAATTTAGAGGTTTCTCATTCTTGACATGAGTTTGTTGACAGAAAAAACTGAGTTTTTCAATAGGAACTTTTAATGTGGTCAACTAATTCTCGGCAACTAAAGCAATAAATGAACAGCTGTTTAGCAAAATGCTAAAACTGGGTCTGGGCCAGATCTTCTGCGGGTGTGAGTTGGCATACCTCCATT